CCGCGCCTCGACCTTCGAAGAGGTCGCGTTGCGCCCCGGCTACTGAAAAGTGTGCTACTACTGTTGCTGCTTCGGCTACTACTCCTACTACTAATAATAATAATAATAACCTTGCGGCAGTGGAGTCTGCCCCTGCTCCCGTCCTCCCTTCTGAGGCCTTTTCCGACCTAATTGAACCAGCTGCCACAGATACCGCAGAACTAGAAACTGACACGACCGCCTCCGCAGATTTACCCACTGTATCCCTTCTGAACAGTGATTCCAGTACCAATGTAATCCATAGTCAGGCCTCTAGCGAGGCTGATTGTTCAGCTCATTCCTGTCCAAAAGCCTCCCAGGGGGACACCGGTAGTTCCTTGCAGCCGGCCTCCACCAACGAATCTGGTCCCGATACCGACTGCAATGGCCAATTCGAACTTGACAGTAGTTCCCACCAATCGGAAGCGGAAAAGGAGAACAATGTGGACGCGGCTCCGCCAATCAGGCAGTCGCCCTCTCACCGGATAGTAGACTCGCATCAGAGTGGTAGTGATGATGGCGATCACAGTAAGGCCTCATCTGAACTATCCACCGCCGTTGGGATTTTCTGTAAGTCTGGTTGACCTTTTAGTTTCTTTCATGATAGTTTGAATAAATTAAATGATTTTACGAAAGGAGAGACTAGCCTACCAAGAGTATCCCCGTTTTTAGACTGGAATTTTGACTCGTGTATTAAGAGGTACGAAAAACAAATTGAAACTACATCGGAATCAGTCAGGATAATTGGTAAAATAAGCGAAGACGTCCTTAAAAGTGTATGGGTGAACCCAATCTTCAGGTCAAAATCATAGTTCTATTTATACTGGGTTGTATCTAATTTTATGTTCTGTGCAATATCCAGTCGATCCCATAGTCCACTTTATTGCTGTTGTCGAACTGAAATTTGTACACAATTGCATAGGCTTGCATCCACAGATAGTTTGTCTGCGGCAGGATTTCATGCTTCCCAAGTAGTTTGCCACTGTTCCTGCCGATTTACTTGTCCTTCCCCCATGCATAGTTTGAATTGAATACTTAATTGTCTTGCTCGCATTAGGGATCCACTCCATCCACAAAGCTCAGCTGTTTTTAGATAGCTTTTGCGTCGCCATTCCAGGTACTTCATTTTCTCGCGATCTTATTGGAATTGAATGGGCCCTTGGCTAAAAAAATGCATTGCACCTAGTCATTTTCTAACGTTTCGTGCTGCTGTCATTAATGGTAATAGCTACAGGGAAAATATTTCCTGTCCGTTTTTCATGGAAGTTTGGCTCCCTTATGGACATCTCTGCCAACTAGGCCTACTTTTGCCTCTATAAGGTGGTTGTATATAGGTTTCCACGAGCTCCAAAGCCTTGATAAATTCTTCGCCTTAAAAAGAACCCTCTCGGTGCTCTTGCTGGGGTCATCTTCGAGTAAGGGGGAAACTGGATCCACAGGGCGTGAGGTCTAGGTCGTGTGTATGGTACGCGTAGGTGGATTGTTTAATTCTTCAGCCCATGTGCCCCCGCCCACCGGTCAGCTGCCTTCACACACCTGCTCAATTCCGACAAAGTAACTTGACAGCACTACTGCCTGACACGCTGAGGTTTCTTTATCAGCACCTACTGTACGATTGGGACTGTGGCTGATGGGACCGCAGTTGGTAAGAAACTATAGCCATAGTTTTTATAAACACGACTCCATCCCAGTCGAACCCCTTGCGTTGCGTCACAAGCAGAAAGGCTTTAGGTTGACGGTTAGGAAGACTTGCCTATGCCACGGCAGTTAGTACCCAGTTATCTGTTGCCTTTCTGGAGGAGTAATGTCATGACAGCGTCTCAAATATGTCAAAACAGTCTCGTTCCCTATTTCGGCTGTTAAGACCGTTTACTCCGTCGACTAATGTCGGAAAGCGTTGGAAATTATTACTCGCCTGCGGCTCTGTTTTGCCCTTTGTGGACGGTTATCTACATTTGCACCGCGATTGGTACAAACATCGGATGAATTCCTGTTCAGCGTTCTCTTCCAACCATGGCTCAGTTGCCATACGAACGTGTTAGGATAGAGGCAGGAGTATAACCGATGGTACGTAAGTCTTCCGCACCATAACCCAAGTCATGCACAAACCGTTTTTTCGATGGTCGTCAACAACCCCCAATATGTTAGTTAGGGCGTCCATCGCCTCCCGTCGCTCCTTTTTCTCTCACCTTCTCTCCAAACAGCACGCGAAGTGTCGCTACATGCGCATGGCTTTTGTCTGTTTTAGCCGAGTCACAAAGTGCCCTTCCCACCGAGCTCTCTTCCTCGTGACCCTAGGATTTTTGGCGTTTCGAGCCAGACGGAGACCGCGATTCGGAGTACACCTCTCCGCTGGTGTAGCATTTACTTGTACACATACCTACCCCCTTCCCGCCTCTATTTCTCTCGTTTTACCAGTCAAACGACCCTAGTTTATAGTTGTACTGGAATCTCGGTCGCGCTATTTCCCCCAATCTCTGAAGCCACATCTTCATTACCACTATTTCCCATTCTTCAACCTTTCTGCTAACCTTTGAGGACCAATTTCTGCGCTATCTCTCACTCTTTTCTCCTCTCATTGTCCATCCTTTTCTACGCCTATCATCACACCTTTCTGACCGTTTTCAGTATACTACTGTGGAGGTCTTCCCTAATCCATCCAGTATTTAGCTTATCTCGAATTTGTTGTCTCTGCTGACTGGTTTCTCTACTGCACCCTCTCCCCGCCTCCCTCCCACTTCCGTTTGTTTCTTTTTATAGGCCATT